TTTTGTAAGGGTGTGACTCTCTCCCTCCCCTCAGTGTGTGTAGGCTTGGTGCACAGTGCCTGCTCTGGGAGGAAGCCCTGTGGCCTGTCCACCACCCAGCATAGCACTAGGAGGAGGGTCCTGTCCCTCTGGCTCTGAGGAGGTGGGGAGCCCTTTGCTTGTCAGGCCACCTTAGGAGCATCCTGGCCCTCACCGGGAGCTGTAGGGCCCCAGCATTGTGGAGATGGCTCCAGGTGGGACCATGGCTCCCTGGCTGCTATGCTTGTGGTGACCTCTGGCCCCAGCCCTGGGTGGGGGAACCCGCCTGTCAAATGCGCAATGACAGCATCACCCTGGGAGGCTGTGGGAGGGTGAACTGAGCCAGTGCAGGGCTGCCATAATGGCACCTTGTAGGAGGGCGAGGCACTTTCTTGGATAGTTTGCTGAGGTGAGGGTGAGTGAGCTGGTCTCTGTCAGGGGTGTGCCTCTGCTCGGGCTTGTGCTGCCTTTGAGTGGAAGCTCCCAGAGTTTTGCCCTAAGCTCCCTGTCTCCAAGATGGACAGTTAGGGGCAGGGCGAAGAAGGCTGCCCCAGACATGCATGCTGTTGCGGGGGCGGGTCCCGTGAGCACAGTGGGGCAGTGCTGACCACTGTCCCAGGGCGGGGCTTGGCCAGCTGGGGCCTTTTCTGAGGGCGGAGATGGTTTGAAGCGCATCTTGAAGTGTGAGTTGGGCCTCACAAGGGAGATGAGAAGTATGACGGAGGAACATTCCTTGGAGGGGATGGTGGTGAAGGTGGGAGGAGCTCACGACAGGACGTTAATGTGAGCAGCAACTTGGAGTTCAGGGGCTGAGGGCTGGAGAGGCTGTGGGCCTGGGAGGGGCGAATGGGCTCTAGAGGGAGGAATGCCCTGGGGAAGGGTCTGGTGGGGCCAAGACTAATGTTTGCTGAAACTGGCGCTGGGTCTGGCAAAGCCTCCCCCCCACACCTGCCATACCCAGCAAACAGCAACCACCTGCCCCTCCCTGCCCAGCCAGGCCCAAAAGATGAGGGGAAGAGGGAGGGTTCTATCAGGGAGTAGTTGGCCACCAGCCCTGCTTGTCTCCCCCTGGGTTAGCCCTGAGGAGCAGTTTGTTGTCCCCAGGCCTCATTTGGCCCACCCTCATCCCCGGCTTCCCTAGTGTGTGTGCAGGCATCTTAGGGATCTTATAACAGTGCAGGCTTTGATCAAGCAGGTCTGGGGTAGTAATGTGTCTTGGTGAAGCTGCTCTGCTGCTCAGTGGGCTGAGGCAGGTGGTGGTCCACTCCCACCTGCCCCTCCCCCTCCTGGTTTTGCGTCTGCCCCTCCTGGTCGACCCTAAGGATGGAACTGCTTTTATCCAGGGGTTTCTCCCCACTACCTGACACAGCACCTGCTTCTTAGGTTGGCTTTCAGCAAATTGGAGTGAGTGAGTAAATGAATGAGTGTGGATCAAGTGTGCCTTCCCCAGACATCAGGCAGGCCCATATTGAGAACAGCAAAGGTCAGAGCTGCATTCCCTTGATGAGACTGCTTCCCCTGGCACAGGCCAGTGAGACACTAAATATTAACCTCACACTGACCACTAATTGGTTAGCAGCTGGGATGGTAGTCTGGTGCTGTGAATGGAGGGATCTTGTCATGAGTTAAGTTTATAATCCCTGCCTTTCCTTTAGGAAACTTGGTGAAAGTTCTGGGCAGGTAACAGAACTCTTGTTTGTTTAGCCATGGCCGTTGTTACAGGGGAGGAGGTAGTGAGACCATTTTTGCTAACAGCCTGGCCTGCTTCCAGGGATTTTTGTCGGTCATGTAAAATCTCTTATCATAATTTTTTTTAATTTGGCTGAGCCAGGTCTCAGTTGCAGCATGTGGGATCTTTAGTTGCAGCATGTGGGATCTAGTTCCCTAACCAGGGATTGAACCTGGCCCCCCTGCATTGGTAGCGTGGAGTCGTAGCCACTGGACCACCAGGGAAGTCCCCTGATCATAATATTTTATATAAGGGTTCCCAAGATGGGCAGGATAGGCTTAATGAATTTGCCCTGAAATCATATAGCTTCTAAATAAACTTGGTGCCCAGGCAGCTGCCCTGGATTGAGGCAGTACACCTGGCCGCTACAACTGTTCCCCTGGCATGTTGGGCTAGATTTCCTCTGCTTTGTTCTCCTGGCCTAAATGGTTTTATAATTTAAAATACGTTTTAAAAAAAGAATGCCCACAATAATTTTGAGCCTTTGTCAAATGCGTGTTCTTTTCCCTGAATTAAAAGAACCCTCTGGGAAAGTAATGAGAGACTTGAAGCACCTTTGCTTTAAAATTGAACTTAGGAAAGTTTTTCATCTTGGAAACTAGTGGGGCTGGTGACCCTTCTGTGTTTGGAAGAGGTGACTCAGGTCCCTGTAACAATCGAACGGGCCGGCACCACACAGGAAATGCCTGCAGCCCGGCAGCCCCAGGGTGAGCTGGCGCCTCCATTTCCTGACAGCACCTGAACCCTACCTCACTTCTCAAAATGAAGGCTGCGTGTCACAAACTGGTTAGAACTGGCTGTTGCCATGGTTTTCACGTTGGAAGGCACAGTTAAAGGGTCACATGACCAAAGAGGGAAATGCCTTTGTCACATGACTTTTTGGTGGCCTGATTAGCATACAGGAAGTTCACTCCCTGCTGGCTGCTGGGATGCTGAGTGATCATTGATGGGAGGTGATGTCATCTCTTGGACGAGTTATTGATTAGTCTCAGTCCAAGATGGGACCTGGGAGTGCTGTGGTCAGAGTGGCCATCTCAGGGAGCTTCAGCTTCAACATGGTCCCAGTCCCTAACCCTACCCTCTTCCCTCAGGCAAATTTGAGCTTTATTAGACATCTCACCTTTGGAAGGCATGCACATCCTCATTGAGATGATAAAAAGTGATAAATCCCTGCAAGTTACCGTTGTCTCAGAGCGCTCTTGCTCAGGAAGCGCCTGTAGTTTGTAACTCCAGACGTGGTTCTGCCTGGGCTGCTCCTCTGCCCGTGTGTAGCCAGCTGCCTGGGAACCCACCTGGGCTGGGACCAGCGGCTGCACTCCTGTGCTGGAGCCTCGTGTCTGCTTAGTGCCTGTGTGCGTGTCCACAGAAGACGGAATTGGAGCTCCGAGGTCTTTTTTTTAAATTATTTATTTTTGGCTGCATCGGGTCTTCGTTGCTGTGCGCGGGCTTTCTCTGGTTGCGGCGAGCGGGGGCTATGTTGTGACACATGGGCTTAGTTGCTCCGCGGCACGTGGGATCTTCCCGCACCGGGGCTCAAACCCGTGTCCCCTGTATTGGCAGGCTGATTCTTAACCACTGCGCCACCAGGGAAGTCCCACGAGGTCATCTTTAAAGTTGATCTTGGGCAGAGTTGGCAGTCAGCAGGGAGACATGGAGACTTGAAAGTGTGGTGGTTCCCGAATTGCATTGGTTTTTAGTTTGATGAGGCCCTAGTGAGACGTCCCAGGTTACTTTATAGACAGCCAGCCAATTTCTGGACTTGAGAACGTGGGCTGCTAACCACAGTGAGGGGATTCTATACCTTGAAATGGAAGCCTTTTTTTGTTCACTCTTCTCGGCTCTTGTCTGGAAGACCATCCAGCAGCTGTGCTGCTTAAATCAGATCAGGGCTGGGATTGTTGAGGTGCAGCAGCCATGCCGCTCTAGGAGGTGGGATTAGGAGGGGCCTGGGGAAGCACACCGGGTTGAGGGGCTACGGGAGTTAGGGAATGCAGTATCTGGTCCTCTGTGCCCATCCTTCCCTGAAGACACAGCTCACTCTGGGAATCGAAAGGGCAGTTGAGTGGGCTGTTAAAACACTAGTCCTCCATCTATAACTCTGTCCCCGCTCAGCCGGAAGGAATGGGACAACTTTGAGGTGTTACTCCCAGTTAACTTCATCGAGTTTGTTCTTTGGGCCACAGTGCCACCTAGTGGACACATTCAGTCCTTGGCTGGTTTTCCTGCTGATAGAAGGATTTGATTCCTTCGAGAGACACAAATGCCGAGGCCGTATCTCAAGGGAAAGTTTACGTTGTGCCCTCAGTAAACAGAGCTGCTTGGTTCGGGACTAAGCACCGTCTCTGGGACCTGTTGGTCCTTATGTGTGGGGTCAGCAATGCCAGAGCAGAAGTCCAGCATCACTAGATGTGCATATATGTCCTAGGGGACTTGGGCGGTAGGGTTGGCGTAAGAGGGCAGAGGGTAATGGGCAGAGGTGGCTGGGAACTAGTTTGTGAGCGGATCAGGTGGGTGGAAAGTACCCAGATCTGTGAGAGAAAATGTGTTCCATGTTCCAGTCGGTTTCAAAACATGCAGCCACTTCTGCCACATTGCCACTGGCAGGGTGAAGAGGCCACATGTAGCCCAGGAAGGACTGCCTAGCAGGCAGCCTTGGCCACCTTGTGAGGTGGTGGCACCCCATGCTGGGGAGCTAGAATGTAGGCCGGCAACATGTGCATCAGCCCCTCTGTCTCCTGGGACGGGCGTGAGGGCTGTTAGCGAGTCTGGGTTTAGCAAAGAAAGGCTGATTTGTGTGGGAGCTGGATGCCCCATCAGGTGGCTTCCAACACGGGCAGGTAGGAGCCCTAGCAAGAGGCCCAAGATTCAGGACCCAGTGTTTTTATTCAGTACTGAGCTACATGGTAGAGATAGGAGCTGTGGTGTTTTTCAGAATGACTGTGTCACCTTCAGAGGACGTAGGCGTCCTCAGCCTGGGGGACACAGAAGTGGTTACCAAGAACAGTCCCGGCTTTTGAAGGGCTCAGCCGCAAACTGGCAGATTTGAGTGCCCCGTGGTGAGTGCGGTGAGAGAAGGCAGCCTGGGTGGGCAGGTGGTGGGGAGGTCTGGTGAGGCAGCCCTGCTTGCTGCCACCTTGCTGTGTCTGCGACTGAATCCAGGCAGCTGCAGGGTGTGGGGGTGGGGCTCTAGGGGATGCCGTCCAGCACAGTTGGGACGCTCTGGTAGTAACCTGCGACTGTTCCTGTTCCGCAGTGACATGAAGTCCGAGAGGAGAGCCCCTTCGCCCGACGTGATCGTACTCTCTGACAACGAGCAGCCTGCAAGCCCGAGGGTGAATGGGCTGACCGAGGATGCCTTGAAGGAGACCAGCACTGAGGCCCTCATGGTGAGCCTTGTCCCCATGCTGGGGAACCATCTCGCAGTGGAACAGCCTGTGTTCGCCGGCCCCCAGCTCTCCCCCTCAACCCTTGTTCTCTTGCCCTTGTAGAAAAGCAGTCCTGAAGAACGAGAAAGGATGATTAAGCAACTAAAAGAAGAGTTAAGATTAGAAGAAGCAAAACTCGTTTTATTGAAAAAGTTGCGGCAGAGTCAAATACAAAAGGAAACTACCACCCAGAAGGTATGTGCACGTCTGTTCCCTCCTCAGTGGTCAGTGAGAGCCGTTTAGAACCAGGGACAGAAAGCCATGGTCATTTCCTTGGCCCACTGCTGCCCCAGGAGCCGGGCGTAGGGACCAGGTCTGAATTGGAAATTTGCAGACTCAAGTTCATGTTTTGGATTTAGCTTAGAGGATATCAGAGTACGTTTTGGTCTAGTATATTCTGGATCTGAGTATGTAAACCTCATTCCCTGTAGACTCCATCAAGGAAATGGAGAGCAGGCATCTTTGATGGTGCTGGAAGCACAGCTCTGTCTCAGACCCCTTTTCAGAAAGGCCTTCGGCCCTGTGGGTGAATGTTCTGGCCAGCAGGGGCCGCTGTGGTTTTGTGGACAGATTGCTGAATGCCACAGGGTGCACCGTAGCCCCGGCCCCAGAGCTTCTACTCCTGTTAACCTCCCCTGATGCCTCAGACTCCTTGTGCTGCTTCTTAATGCACCTTACCATGTAAGGCAAGGTCAAGTTTGTTTTGTCCTTTTTTGGTGTCCCATTCTGGGAAGGTTCCTGGTCGGTGACAAAACTACCCTTCCTTATATTCTAACCACTCTCTGAGTGAACCAGAAAGTAAATGCACTTCAGGCAGTACAGTGTGTAGAACATGTGTCCCCTTAAGGGAGCAGGACAGGGGGACGCTCACTGGTCTGACTTGGGGATTTGCTTGAGCCCCCACCCCCACCTGGTAAACAAGTGGACCAAGCCTGCCCTCTGTTAATATCCCGATGGACAGAGCCTGCTCATTACTTGTTTCCTTGTTGATTGCTTAAGAATTGATGATGTGAACCAAGTCTGTCAGTGTCCCTTCTCTGGTGGAATATGTGACTTTAAGAAGTGCCTGGGGACTTCCCCAGTGGTCCAGGGGTGAAGAATCATCCTTGCAATGCAGGGGACGTGGGTTTGATCCCTGGTCAGGGAACTAAGACCCCACATGCAGCGGGACAACTAGGCCCGTGCACCACAACTACTGAGCTCGCGTGCCTCAACCCTGCTTGCTGTGAACCGCAGAGCCCACGTGCTCTGGACCCCACGTGCCACAACTAGAGAAGAGAAAACCTACATGCCACAACTAGAGAGAAGCCCCCGGGCCGCAATGAAAGATCCCGCATGCCTCAACGAAGATCCTGCGTGCCGCAGCTAAGACCCAATGCAGCCAAAAATAAATAAATAAATCTTTTTTGAAAAAAAAGAATTAAAAAAGTGCCTGGACCCAACATTTTCTCACCAGGGTTGGGAATAACCTGTCTAAGCCCGGGGTCCTTCACCTCAGCCTCCACCACCAGCCTTTTTTGTCCCCTGCAGGGCGGAGATGGCACCTGAACCACAGTGATGCCAAGCACCCCCAGGGTGGGGGGGTAAAGGGTGCTGGAAAATCTGTCCTTTGTTTGTTTATTTATTTATTTTTATGTATGTATGTATGTATGTATGTATGTATCTACCTACATACCTACCTACCTATCTATCTATCTGGCTGTGCTGGGTCTTAGTTGCGGCACGTGGGATCTTCGTTGTGGCATGTGGGCTCTTAGGTGCGGCATGCAGGATCTTGTTCCCTGACCAGGGATCGAACCTGGGCCCCCTGCATCGGGAGCCTGGAGTCTTAACCACTGGACCACCAGGGAAATCCCCTTTATCTGTTTCAAACATGTCAA